AGAGAGAGAGAGAGAGAGAGAGCATCTTCTACAGTTATAGTTTCTATCCTAACTTGAGAGTGGGTTTGGCAGCAGCAACCTCGTTGGCCAATCTACAGTCATGAGGCCAAGTCAGAGTCACGAGCTATGTATCTGATATATTTCTTTCAGTTGTGATATTTCTTGGTGTGGGGGAGTCTCCCACGGTTATAGTTTCTATCCTAACTTTAGAGTGGGTTTGGCAGTGGCAACCTCGTTGGCCAATTTACAGTCATGAGGCCAAGTCAGTAGTCATGAGCTATGTATCTTATATATTTCTTTCAGCTGTGATATTTCTTGGTGTGGGGGAGTCATCTGTGCCCCCACCCACACGCACAAAAAAATTAAAATAAAAGAAAACTACTAAAGCGTCATGAAATGACTATATGGTCACTTTGAGGCCCATTACCCATAGGAAGGGCCTTAACCTCGACCCTCTTGTCTCAGAAGCCTGCTAGGTCTGGAAAGGCTGCTCACACTACACAGAACTCTTTTTGATGACCCATGGCTCCAGGAGGTCCAAGGTTAACTACAGAAATAGCATTAAGGTTAGATACGGGGTTAAACTGTGAATCATGACTTGCCTACTGTGATGTGTGGATGGCGATATCCTTAATGAGAAAAGGAAAAAGATTTTAACGTTGATTAAATGTTAGGGAAATCCTTTTCATTGGGGCTCTCAAGTGCAATGACAAGGATATCCTTTCCATTAGGGCATGAGAATTGTCTCACATCGCCTCACTTGCCATTGTAATGAGTTTGATTAGAACGTTACCGAATGGATGTTAAGATGATATTCCTTAACAATGATCTGTAATCAAGGACAATGGGAATTTCATGATCTTGTAGTTCTAGGTCGATGAGATCCTCCTATTGGGAGGAAATGACAAGGAGATGATTGACGTCACTAAAGAGTGGTCGTCGACCAAACACAATCATTCTAAGAGATTCCTTAGCTTGTCGTTAGAAGATTACCTTAGGAAAATTTAGAATTATTCGGGACACATAATTGCAAACCCATCGATATTCTTGTCAAGAATGATCTTGTGCTTGGTCTATATTTCTATCCAAAGATGGAGGCTAAGAAAGAGAAGATTTCCCATGTACCTTTTGTGAAGAAATCTCATGTATGTTTTGTTGTGTACTCGGCTTGGTGCGTCATATGACTATTAGTCGTCAATAGAGCTGTACTGATTCAGAACACTGGTGGGCCATGAAGATGATACTCTAATATCTCTAGGGAACTGTAGACTGCTCCCAAATCAGTTTGCAAATGATATACGATTGCAAGGATATATTGACTCTGATGGGGTGGATGACCTGGATGAGTGATGGTCCAAATCCTGGTGCAAGAAAGAGACACGTGTGACACTACCTACCATGGAATTATAATGCATAACTAATTGTGTAATGCTGCAATTGTGTCGAACGCTGAAGGCCCTGTGAGCATATTTTATGACAACATGGTGGCACTGGTTTTTGCAAAGGATCCCTTGTATCATAGTATGACATACCACATGGAAATTTAGTATAGCTATGTGTGAGATGTCATTGATGTAAAAGAGGTTGTCATGATATATATTCCATTGAGCAGGAAGGTGGAGACTCTCTTACTAAGCATATAGCTCGATAGATTTACTGGGCTTATGTTAAGGGCTTGGACTTTTAGTACCATGATCTTGTTTGATTAGGAATCACATGATGCACATGGTGTCCCATTGGACATGTATGGTAGCTGTCTAAGCAATGAGGTATGTTCAGGTTATTCACTTGGGTGCAATAATGGGATGCATTGGTCTGACACATGACTATGACTAAACTAAGGCATGCATGGTGTAAGTTCTATGTAGATCCTAGTGTCATTTTCTCCATGGCATGTACCTCATACCACATGTGCTTAACGAGGCTGCCATTACTCTTATAGAGATACACATACGATTATTAATATTCCTCAATACACCATATGATAATTTCCGTTCAGGTAGTGACCTTGAGTGCCTCTAGAGACCTTGAGTTTATATTAGGAAGTGGAGGCTGATGTTGCTACTTAAGCGTACCTCTCCAGGGTCATGTTTGATTCGGTCCAGTTGGCAGCATAGCAAGGAAGAAACTCAAGTCAAAGTGGAACAATAGTAAGGCTTGAGGAAGAGCATTGTCTTTTTCTTTTTCTTTTTCTTTTTCTTATTTTAGAGAGAGAGAGAGAGAGGGGCCTCACATTGAACACTTGGAGGCCTTTTTCTTGCTCTTATGCCATGTTAATTGCAACAAACAAGCCTCTTCATGTCTCTTTATAAAATAAAAAGCATTTCCATTGTAAAAAGATACTATGAAAAACTCTCAAAAATTCTTACAAGCATAGAGAAGAAAGAGAGAGAAGACAGAGAAAAGGTAATGAAGGCAGAGGGAGAGACGCCTGCCTAGGCGAGCAGCCATGTTGGTCTAAGACCCTAAGGCAGGCTCGTAGAACATATCTTCCCTGGGTTCCCGCCTAGGCTCATGCGATTTGGCTGACCCATTAGCCTGCATAGGTGGCTAGGCGGCCGGATTTCGTTCACCACCAGTGGGAGATATTGAGTCCACCCCTTATGGGTGTGAGGACCTCCTCGGTATCTGCAACATTGTTAAGGGTAGAAGGAGAGATAAGGGAATCCTAATGGATTGGGATTGTTATTTTTGAATAAAAGTAGTTAGAGGCAATCCTACTCATATTGGAAAGATACCTCCACATAGCTCAATATCCTTCACTCCCTCTCTCCTTCTTACTCTCTTATGTAGAAACCGTATATAGGAAAAAGTTCCATCCAAACCTGGCGAATCAACAAAACTCTCAAGCCATCTCCATCAAGGCTCAAATATTTGCGTTGTAAAAGTAATCGTGATGGTTGTTGTAATGAAAAGTGGGAAACCTAAGGTTGCGGCATCAAACTCGCAACTTTTGAAAAAGGTAACACCTACGGGAAAAAAAGGTAAGATTCACACAAGCACAAAAAGGCAATCGAATCTCAAGAATGTATGTACCCTCTATCAGATCCATATTTTTTTTTATGCGTGGTCTTATGTTTACACTATAGGCACCATGAGCAAGTCCTAATGCAACATAAACATAAAAATATTTAAAAAACACTTAGATTTGATGGGGGTTACAATTACATATCTTTAGAGATATGGTCGTCTTACTGTAGATCTCTCATTTCTTTGTCCATGTGGATGCTCCCTTTTGAGGTTGCGAGTTTGATGGCCCAACCTAAGGTCTTTCTTTTTTTGTTTTAAGAACCATGAAGACCATTTCAACACAAAGCATTGAGCCTTGATGGAGATCACCTGATAGTTCTCTCTAAATTGTTGGAACTTGTTCTTTTTTGGCGTGTTCCTAAGGGGAGAGAGAGGGAAAGGAAGGAGAGACATGGACATGCTTTGTTGTGCTCTTTATAGAGAAAAGCTGAGAGGGGCTGCGACCTAGTTGGCACGTGACCTTTTCTTTCCAAAGGAATCTCTTGCCTCCCTCTCTCTCTCTAAATGCCATTATATAGATGTTTTCACTTCTAAGATTCCCTCCCCAGGTGGTTATCCTTTTCAAACTAGATCTCTATGCAACTCCCACATGTGGAATTATCTTTTCACTTTGAGTAGGATTCCCTCTAATCACCTTTATCAAAAAATAACAATATCAAATCATTATGATTTTTCTTTCTATCCTTACCAATCTTTCTATACCCATGGGGTCACCCACTTACAAGGGATGGAACCCAATTCCAACATCTCCCACTCGCTCCATAATGGGTTCGCATAATGACATTAGATTCTCAACATCAAGGCATCAACCCACAATATATCACAATGCAAGAACTCTATTTTACATTATCAGAGAAATGCACCACAGTTTTCACAAAAATAAAGTAGAAATGTAGAACTCTCTTCACTCTTATCCAGTATTTGCTCTAGCTTGCTCTAGACTTTCTTGGACACTCCACATTGAGTATTTCACAAATCCCTCATGAACCTCAATGCTCAGGAGATTACTCAACCCATTCATGCCCACACACTCAATTCATCCACGAATACCAAATATAGATACCGGAAGTGAGGATACAGCTCGACTTTTCCCAAAATCTAGGACACTGAAACAAATACAGTATGCTATCCAGCATGTTGAAACTATGGGATTCGATATGATAAAAAAAGTATAATAGAAGTAAACTTATATAAAGGATCCATCTTAGAAAAGAATTTGTGATAATCTTATCCAAAGATTAAGATTTTAAAGGGGTAAGTCAAAAGAGATCAATTGGGCTTTTCTATATTTTACCTACAGTTTTCAAAATTCAAATGTACAAAATGATAAAGAAATGATGCATGTTCAAGATAAGTAAGAGGCATGAAACACTAGGGAATCATCATAATTATGATGGTATTTTTACACGTCATGCTTAATATTGCTCATTATCATGTAAATCAGGGACCTGAAATCTTGACAAACCATAGAGTCACAAGAGCATATTGCCGAACCTTATACCTGTTTTATTGTATCTATACCCATACCTGTATCCAACTATATTTC